CAATATTCATTGCCTTATAGAAGCTCAGTTTTAGTAAGTTTTCCAACTTTTGCCAAGAGGGAACTTTAGATATTGGTCCCTAGATTATGTTCACCCAGTTTCATGCAGATCGCTCAAACTTCCTAGGAAGAGATCCATTTGAAGTGTTTTTCAAAAAATTCAAAATGGCGGAAAATCTATATAAGCGGAAGTTATGGGTTCTTGAGGCAAATGTGTTCCTCATGAGGAGAGGCATCTCTGTGCAAAGTTTCATGTCTCTACGACATACGGGGCATGAGATATGCCCATTCAAAGTTTGACATTTCAGTCGGTTGCTATAGCGCCCCCCTTTGGCCAATTGATGTAATATTGCTTCATTCACATCCTCCCATGACCCTCTACCACTGTGCCAAATTTCACATGGATTGACCAAGTCAGTGAGGAGAAAAACATGAAACACACACACACACACGGAGTTTTCATCATTATATAGTAAGATGTATAAAATAAAATCACAGGTATGTTGCTGTATGACCTGATGACAGAATGGATGTTTATATTGGTCAATATTTGAACTTCACAGCTGCTCGGATATTTCCACAAGCTCCTGAAATCTGGTATTGCTCCCAGCACTGGAATTCAGAGGTGAAAAACCTAGCTTAGCGTACAGACTGGAAACAGCTTGGCTCTGTTCAAAGTTCAGAAATATTCCTGCCACCATCTTGAAGCCTCCTTATAACATGTTGCATCTTAAATGTGAAATCTGTACACAAACAGAAATATTAAAACAACAGCTTGTGATTTTTAGAGTTAGGTGCTGGAACTATTTCATGTAGCCTGTTTTATTTATTTATTAACTTGCGCTTCACTTTCCTTGTTGTTTTCTGTCTCAGCCCACTGAGGTTTATTTCTACTACCTCTATTATTCATTATGCATTTCCTAGGAACTCTCCAGACTTGACCTTCCTCATCCTTCCACCAGATGTCCTCAGACTTTCTCCAGCAGTCACCTGCTCACTTGCTCCTCATTCCCCAATCATCCTGCAGTATTTATACCAGCACATCTTCGTCTGCTCTTTGCTAGGTACTTCTGCATTTGCATCTGAACCTGTACCTGTGTCTATCTGATCTGTATCTGATCTGTATCTGATCTGTTCCTGCCTTTCTTAGTTACCTGTCCCTGACCTGCTCACCTGTCGCGTCCCTCTTGGATTTGTTTGTTCAGACTGTCATTCTGCTGCCAACCTGTAACCTGTCCCTGATCTTCACCTCTAGTATATGTCCCTTCATCCGACCCGCTTGCTTTGTGTGTGTCTGCATTTGAGTCCTCCTTCCTCTAGAATAAATATACATTTTCTCATTTTCAATTGATTAGGCTTTGATTTGTAATACATAATATTTGCAGCCAGGATCAGTGTATGCAGAGGTGGACTGTTTCGAGTTCCTTTTCTTATGAAACAGCCGTCACCTGCTGCCGTGTGTTTGTAACGAGACGAGTTTCAGTCTGAAATGTTAATGTAGCTCACACTCACACACGGTGCCGACTGACGGATGAGAAGTGAGCTCTTCTTACAGATGACGTCCATGCTTCTCTACGAATAGATCACTGACTATAAATGTTTGATTAACGGCAACGAGCGTCTGGTTACACTTTGTCCTGACGCTTTCTGTTTCTGACACAAAGTGTGATGAAGGGAAAAAACATCCTGGACAAGTTTACCCTCCGTCTAATTCAGTGCAGTTGGGTTTATGAAGTTAAAAATAAAATAAGTCCCTTTGTAGCAGAGTGAACTGAGGGATGCTTCAGCTTAAACAAGACTTGGATAGTTTGAGCATCAAACATTAAAGATTAACTTTATCTTTTACTTTTTATTTATTTATTTATGAAAAAAAGATTTTTAGATAAACAAGTGAAAACACGACCAGACTATGGTCAGCATCAGCCAACAGGTCTTTGCTTACAAACAGTGAATTTCACTCTATTCTGATAAAAATATTTGTTTATGTGTTCCATGCAGCATGAACGGCTACAACTTAGATTTCACTGTGCAACCCTGTGTGGTAACATGACATATGATTAACACTGTATCCTGGATTTGTGCAGCTGATACTGAGTCACTGTGACAAGTTCCAACATGATTTAATCACAGTCTTCCGAGGTTTTTGTAAAATTCTGGCTCAAGACAAACTCCAACAAATCTGTGAATTTCCTCCAACACGACTTTTTATGAGTGAAAACTAAACTAAGAAGAATTTTTGAGGGAATTTAGGGACGTTAAAGAGGCAACAGATAAGATTCGTTTTTTTTTTCAGCTTGGTGCCACCTAGTGTCAGCGGTGTTGCATCGCACTGTCGCAACGACCAAATTGACCGTGAGGATCAGAGATAATCAATAAAATGTAGGTTGTAAAGCCACCAGTACACCTCAAAGTCCAGTGTTCACTTAGCTGGGCGTAACTTAGCTGGGCGATGTCCGTGGATAGCTGCCTCCGTGAGAAGAGAACAGAAGGAAGGGAGGGGGGTATCACTGTCCGAGGGCTGCCGTAGAATGGCAACCAGGATGTCAGCCGACCAACACTCGCTACCCGCTCCCTGGTTGCGAAGATTTGCGATGCTGGCCAGCTAGGAATGAACTAGCAGCCAGTACAGTACAGTCCTCTCTGGTCTAGCTAACATTTAGCCGTGTTACTTACTGATCCATTAGAAAGAAAGCTAGCTGGACATGGGTTTTGAAGCCTCTTTGGTCACGGAGCTCCCTCCATCTCTTGAACGCCTGACTGAGGTTTACTCTTGTTTTTCCTCTTCTTTTATCACTCTCCTTTTTGCTCTTCTTTGCCTCCTCACACAGAGGAGCTCCTTTTCTTTTGCTAGGCCGTTTTTCACTTGTCTCCAAACTTTGTCTGTCTGCCATTGTGCTCGTGACTCAACTATCTCATGCCCAACTCCTCATAAGGACCAGCTCCAGTCCCTGATTGGCTGGCTGACCAGTTTCACAATACATGACGTGTTTCCTGCTGTAAAGCAGATTTTTTCTGCAAAATTTCACCCCCGGTGGCAGAAGCTTATTGCAAAGATTGCAAAGCCACTAAGTAACCTATGTAAACGCTGATAGTCTGATTTTACTGTGGACACTACCCTGTGCAACCCACATTATTTTCATCATGATATATTTAGGAAAAGATGCTGTCTGTTGCCTCTTTAACAGAAACAAATTCACTTTTTTTCCTCTTAAATTTAAGCTGGAAACGCAGAGAGACTGACTGACCTTCTCCAGCTTCATCAGGTTGATGGTCAGTAGTTCAGAGAAAATCTCCGTGTTCACGTCACTCCCTCGCAGAAAGTCATTTCTGAGGGAAAAAACAAACATCGATGGATATAAATGATTAAATATGAATGAAGAGCAAAATCATATAATCTTGTATTTTGCAGTCAGCCGGATCTGATCTATAAAACTGTACGTGTCACATTTATATCATGCACATGTTACTGTTCTTCATTTTGCTGCTGTGACACAGCGACAAATTGGTCCCATACTTAACCCTAAATTTGGGAAATTTGCAGCCGCTTTTAAAGTTGTGACGATCTGGAAATGTGAAGCAGCTGCCAGCTGAGGTGTTTCAACAAGTAACATAACATATAATAATATTTTTCCCAGCTCAGGTTTTCCAGGTTTGTTTTTCCCTGTCTCTCCAGAACTTTTGTGAACTCACTCCTGGTGGGTGAACTCAGTGATGGAGCCGAGCGTCGTCAGTCTCTGCTCCAACGAGACGATCTTAAAGGCCAGGTAACAGGAAGACAAGACCAGGACACACACCCTGACAGAAACACACACATAAACACACAATCAGACAACGAGGAAGGGAAATACTGGATGGATGAAAAGATGTGAGAACTTTAGAGAAGTGAGTGAACGTGTGAATGAAGGTTAATATGTGTTAATGAGTGCATTTTTAGATTCATCAATAATGTGGACTAAATGTGCAAAATGTTAAATGAAACATTTCATGAATGAATGAATGAATGAAAACACAGTTGGATGAACACATGAAGTGATTGAAATAAAGGTTAATGAATGAATCTGTTAATATAAACAAATAAATAGTTATAAAATTGATAGAAGAATCATAGAAGAATGGAATTAACTGATTCATTTTTGAAAAAATGAATGAATGAATGAATACACAGTTGGATGAACAAGCGGACAGATTAAATAAAGACATGATGAGTCACTGAATTCATCATGTGTGCAAATAAAAGTGATGAAAATTGAAATAAAGATGAATGAATACATCATTAATATACAAATGAATAAATGAATATATGCAACTGAATGGCGGGATGAATGGATGATAAGTGAATAACTGACTGATAAATCTGACAGACGAACAAGTGACTGAATAACTGACGAAAACAACTAGAAGAATCAAATGAAAGAATAAAGTAATTTTGGAATGAATGAATGAATGAATGAATGAATTAACGAATGAATGAAAACACAGTTGGATGAACACATGAAGTGACTAGACTAAATAAATTGTTATAAAATTGATAGAAGAATCATAGCAGAATGGAATTAACAGATTATTTTTTGAAAAAAATGAATGAATGAATGAATACACAATTAGATGAACAAGCAGACAGATTAATAAAGACATGATGAGTCACTGAATTCATCGTGTGTGCAAATAAAAGTGATGAAAATTGAAATAAAGTTAAAATAATACATCATTGATATACAAATGAATAAATGAATATGCAGCTGAATGGAAGGATGAATGGATATTAAGTGAATAACTGACTGATCAAACTGACAGACGAACAAGACGAAAACAAGTAGAAGAATCAAATGAAAGAATAAAGTAATTTTGGAATGAATGAATGAATGAATGAATTAACGAATGAATGAAAACACAGTTGGATGAACACATGAAGTGACTGAAATTAATCTGTTAATATAAACAAATAAATTGTTATAAAATTGATAGAAGAATCATAGCAGAATGGAATTAACTGATTAATTTTTGAAAAAAATGAATGAATGAATGAATGTATGAATGAATACACAATTGGATGAACAAGCAGACAGATTAATAATGACATGATGAGTCACTGAATTCAGCGTGTGTGCAAATAAAAGTGATGAAAATTTAAATGAAGATGAATGAATAAATGAATATGCAACTGAATGGAAGGATGAATGGATATTAAGTGAATAACTGACTGATCAAACTGACAGATGAACAAGAGACTGAATAACTGACGAAAACAAGTAGAAGAATCAAATGAAAGAATGAAGTAATTTTGGAATGAATGAATGGATGGATGGATGGATGGATTGTTGGATGGATGGATTAATGAATGAATGAATGACTCACAGAAACAGGTAGACAAACAGCAGAGTGTTGAGAGAGACTGGTTTCAGAGTTCTGCTGTCGATCACCATCTGTGAGCCTGCAAACAGAAAAAAATACTTTTTATAGATCAATAAAATAAACTTCACTTATTATGTAATAATAGTAATAATAATAATAATTATTATTATTATTATTATTATTATTATATTTTTTGTTTGTTTATATTTTGTTTTATTTTCACTAAAGTTCTGTTTCATCGTGTTGTGTCTTTACCATTCCAAAGTAATAAACTATAAATCCAAATATCATGGGGTTATAAAAACATTCAGCCTGTCATCTGCTGGACTGTGAGATCAGAATGTAAGGGACAGATTGGATGACTGTTGGATACAAACTTCATAAAGTCCAGTTTGGCTCTTTTCCTGGGTCAAATATGCAGCTGGAGGATTACAGACTGGATCTTGTACTAACACTGCAGACAGGACAATATTCATACCGGTGCGGTGTGTGTCGTGCTGCTTGTTGTCTGAGCTCTGCTGGTTCTGATGCTGGTTCTGATGCTGGTTCTTGACTTTGTGTTGTTGATGGTCTGGATGTTCAGGAGGAGCTGCACCGTCTGTGTGCTTCAACACATCCAGAAACTGAGGAACGGGGAACTCTGCAGAGACACAGAAGGCACTGTGAATAGAAAGACTTTTATCTGGATAACCAGGGTTCGACCTGACTTTAAGCAGGTATAATCCTGCTGAAGTGCCCTTTAGCCAGACACTGGCTCTATTTGGTATTGTAGGGTCAGCTGGTAAATGAACTCCACTGTGTAACAGGACACAACGGCCTTTTTTTCTTTTCTCTCCTCGTTGTTTAACAGTGGATGATGTCCAGGTGTTACATTACATCCTTCTACCATTCATCTCTGCTCCTGAGCTTTTCACAGGTGTAATGAATAATCCTCGATGCCCACTGCAGCGATGAATGACATAAAGGGGACAGGAGGAAGTGAACAGTATTGGGAACTGTGACGTCACCACTGTATGTTTGTCTTGTGAGCATAATCAGAGGAAGAAGGGTCGAAGAGGATGGAAGGGAAATACTAAAGGAAGAAAACTGAATAAAATAAAGAATGAAGATGCAGAAGGGAAATCGAAGGTCTGGATTTTTAAAGCCTGTTGACATGTGTTTGGTAATTCAGTATAAGTTGTTAAAGTCTGCTCACAGCTAAAGGTAAATTTCATGAGTCATGATTGTGGATCCTAAAAAATATGAGGTTGCTTAGCTGGTCAGTCAGTTGGTGGTTTGATTGGAGATACCTGCTATCTTGTCGTAGTCGGGGGTCTGGGAGTCGGAGCTGCTGCTCTCCTCCATCTCCTGCCTCCTCTGCCTCACTGCTCCGTCCAGGTCACAGAAAACACCTGGAAAATTCTACAGAACCACAGAAACACACACAGACGACATGTTGACTGGTGGGTGAGTCACATATCGAACACCAGAAATCCAGTTTTCAGTCCTCTCGTTAGCATGAGGGATAAGGTAAAGAAAAAGCGGAGCAATATAATATCATTATTTCCCATAGAATTAAAGTTTATGTGCAGCTGTAGATTTGTGCAATCGTAACTCCAATCTGACACTCTACACTCTGTATGAATTCATGAAAGTTAAAGGGACAGTTTAGTTTTTTGAGGTGGGGTTGTATAAGGTATTTATCCATAGACGGAATATTACAGCACACCCCCTGTTTGGAGAAGCAGGCTGAAGTCTGATACTTTAACTGCTATTGTTTTTTTTGGCTGCTAAAATATGTTTTGTTGTCCACAGCAGTAGATTGCTTACCTTTTTTGTAGGACTCCTGTCTGCTTCTTCAAACTGGTGGCATGTGGACTGCCATCTACTGTAGGTAATATGTTTTCTATGGATAAGTACCCCATACAGCCCCACTTAAAAAACTGAACTATCCCTTTAAGCTCAGCTCTCAGTCTCCTCAGAGTGCTCAAAGTGAGCTGAGTGGTGCTCTGAATAACCCAATGGTACATATATTTAAACAGCGCTTCAAATTAACGAATGGTCCAGGTTATTCCAGAGTGCACTTTGTAGATCGGAGTGATGCGCAGCTCCAAAGATCAATATGTGGCGAGCGATGCTGATATGAAGAAATAAATGTGTGGAAAACCTGAATAAAATATCTGGGCTGATGATGGAGGTCAAAGAGGAAGACACTGACAAGACAGTCACACTTGGATACAGTTTTGTTGGTGTAAAAAACAAACTATAGACTAAAATACAACACAGCACATATGTTTGCATCTGCTCCAGCTCATCTGGTGGGTTTTCTGTCCATATTTTAAAATAAATTTCCCCATAAATCAAGTATTTTGTTTGCCTTTTACAACTACAGCTCCCATGAGTCACCTCCAGCCTCCAGCCTCATGTGATGTGAACAGAATGGAGTAGAAACAACATGCTTGGTTGATTGGTTGAAAACAACCCACCATATGGTATTATTTTCACCTCTGACTCAGCTATTATTCAGACGTTTGATTCCATAATGTCTCCATCACAGAAAGAAATCTGTTTTGGTGTTCTAGTGATCCTGGTGAGCTTGTGTCTGACCTACCAGAGGAAAGCGAGGCAACAGAGGTGACCTCTGACTTCTGAAGCTGTTCTCAGCTGAGGAGGGGACGGGGCTGCTGCATGGGCTCTTCTCCTGTAAATATAATATACAGTCAGATACAGTTTGTTTTCATGCTCAGAAGTTTTCATTTGGAAAAAAGCTGGTTGATATCACAAAGACATAAAGTCTGGACAAACTTCTGACCCAAGTCAGATCTGCAGAGATATTTCTACTTTGGTAGTGACATAAAGAACAGAATACAACCTCTAGTAGAACTGCAAACAACACTTTACACTCATCTCAGCAATCTTTTGTTTTAAGTGAATAATTAGTACCCATACGCCGGTTTGACAGTAGACAACAAAGCACAGTAGCTTATTAAAGATAGTTTTAACAAGCTCAAATCTTTAAGGGTGAATTCAATTTCAGGATTTTAGAGGACTAAAATCTGTAGGTCAATTTCAGTCAAGTCACCAAACAAAAATGTTGGCATGGTTGGTACGTGTCTGCAAACCACCAATACGTATCATATCAGCATTCCATCACTGTTTTTCCAGCTGGATCGTGCCACGATAAGCAGTTGTTTTATAGCAAGATATTGCTGCCTTTCCAACAGGGTTTATGCCCCAAAATTGGGTCTTTGAAGCAAAAACATGATCTTTCCCTTAGCCTAACTAAGTGGTTTGGGCCTAAACATAAACACACGTTATGATAGCGTTGTTAAGATGTTAAGTTTAACCTCTACAGAATAACATGCAAATGTAACATATCCATAGTTTGCAGAAATGTACAATGCCAACATCAGGAATGTCTAACTGGGCCTTACAGGGCACAGTCAGTGCTTCCTGATCAGCATGACCTTCTAAAAAAGGCACTTAAAAACATTCATTCAAAACAAAAACAACCTTTAAGGAACTAAGACGAGCAGCCTTGATTTTTCCTGTGTTTGATAAAACAAAAAGGTCAAATGATCTGATGATGATGGTCTTTTTCTTTTTCATAACACAGGTTTTGTACCTGACTAACAAAGAGATAAGCCTGCATGAGGGGAGTCTGTCCTACCTCCAGATGAAGACAGATGGACATCAAGAACTTGTAGGTGTTGTCTCTGGACAGAAAGGACACGAAGACGTACTGCAACAAAACACAGGAAGAAGTTTTCCAGGTTTTAATTTTGTTGTCTTTGTTGTTGTTGTTGTTGTGACAGATATTTGAGGCTAACAGTGCTGACTGACCAAAATGAGGTCTGGTAAGTCACCAGCAAACAAAGGCAGATACTTCAGCTAACTGGATTTTGTAGGAATAATTCATGTGTGAGCAATAAAGAGAAAGTAAGTCTTCCCTCTTCTCACCCTGTCGTTAGCGGTGGCGATCACCAGAGCGTTTGGCAGCAGGATGGCAGTTTTGGTCTTCTTGATGTGTGTGACAGACATCACTGGGATGGCAATCTGAGGCGGAGAAACACCAGTGATGAACAGGTGAGCCCTGCAGGGACGAGTTTACTGTCCGATGGTAAAGAATCACTCGAGAAGTGGTGGGTACAGAAGCTGTGAGACCTCATGTGTGAGCAATGTGTAAAGTGTGCAGCCGTGTTGGCCGGGGGATATCTGGAACTTAAAAGACCCTCCCATTAAATGTTGCACCTCAATAAAGAAGTGATAACACAACTTTATTACATCACATCAGCAAAACACAGACTTTGTGTAAGACTGTGGAAAAGTGGAAACAAGAGACCTGAGTGAGACAGTCTGAGGACTCTGTGCCAAAGACCTCTGGGATGGAAAACTGAGATTACTTTTAATAATAATTCGTAGGATATCATCAAACTGTTAGATGGTTAAGGATAAGTTGTGAAGTGTAAAGGACTACATCATCAGTATACGACATGGTGCACTAACGCTCTATAGCCTAATTTACAAGGCGTTGGACGAAGTGTTGTATGTAATGCTAAATTCTGCTGACGGCAATATCTGCAGCTGTATCCACAGCCGCTAACGTGACCAGCAAGCATGCTACTGAGCAGCAAACTGTGGACGTAATAACTGAGCACGGGGCAGTAACGAAGTCTGAACACAAGTGGTTATCTGGAGACGCATGATAGGCGCAGGTGTGAACAGCGATGTGTCTCTGCTGTCCACTTGTGATCAGATCACCGAAACTCATGTTATCACCAGATCTAAACAGGGCATCTGTCCCAGTTCACGGTACCTTCGTATCTTTGCCAAACACCTTGGAGTGGAAGCAGATCCAGTGGTCAGAGACAAACATCCGTCCCTGGTAGAGGATGTCTTTCTGCAGAGCACAGGTGTAACCTGACAAACAGGTACAAAGCATCAGGTTTCTGACGGGAATCTACAAAAAGTCTTATTTCTTTTAAGTGTTAGTTTAGTGGGAAAAAAGATAGAAATGACAGAAAGTGAAAAGCGTCCAACAAAACAGCCACCAAAAACTATTTCAGTGCACAGCCATGTGAACCTTTGCTTTAAATCATTATCTGGTGTTTAACAGAAAGCTGGCAGGTATCAAATGTTCAGCTATTATCTCATCCCTCATCCAGTATTTAAAGTGGAGTGGACAGTTGTGATCAGTAAAGACTCACTCTGTCTGAGCTGTTCCTCTTTGCTGATCTCCTTAAATATTTTATGGTACTGGCAGTTGCTCTTCGAAAGCTGAAACACAACACACACACACACACACACACACACACACACAGAGTTAAAATACAAGAACATGCTTACAAATTTAATCAGAAGTCGCATCATTATCAATTGAAGTAAAGCATTGGTAGATTACCACCCTGCAGTTGTATGACTCCGCCCACCAGTCATGTTTCTCTTACAGTTTGCATCCATGTCAGTGAAAACATGGATGCTTCACACACAGAAGATCTATACAATCAGCACAGTTTCAAGATTAGAGTGACCAGTCCAGTATCTGACCAAATGTCTCTCTGTCTGTTCCTGAGATATGACGTTGAATAATGGCCAGAAAAGTGTTTTATGCTGAATATTATGATGTCACACTGAAGATGACCTTTGACCTTTTGGGTATGAAATATCATCACTTCATCATTTTATCCTGACAGACAATTTGTGAAATTGTGTCATAATTAGCGTATGAATTCTTGAGTTATGGCCAAGAACATATTTTGTGAGGCCAAACTGACCTTGACCTTTGACCTTCAACCACAGAAATCTAATCAGCTTATTCTTCAGTCCAAATGGACATTTGTGTCAGATTTAAAAAACTTCCTTTAAAGTGTTCTTGAGATATCATGTTCCCGAGAACGAGACAGATGCAAGGTTGCATTAACCTTGACCTTTGACCACCAAAATCCAATCTGTTCATTGTTGAGTTCAAATGAAAAGTTGTGCCAAATTTGAAAAAAAATTCCCAACAGTGTACTTGAGATATTGCATTCACAAAAATAAGACAGACAAGGTCAGTGACAGTGGCTTTGACCATCAAAATCTAATCACTTCATCTCTGAGTCCAAGTAAATGTTTGTGCCAAATTTGAAGAATTACCCTCACACTGTTATTAAGATATTGCATTTATGAGAATGAGGTGGATGCAAGGCCACAGTGACCTTGACTTCTGACACCTAACGACCAAAATCTAAATACTTTATTCTTGAGTCCATGTGCACATTTGTGCCAAAATTGAAGAAATTCCCTCAAGCTCTTCTTGAGATATCACATTCATGAGAATGAGACAAACAAGGTCACAGTGAGCTTGACCTTTGACCACCACAGTCCGATCCGTTCATTGTTGAGTTCAAATGAAAAGTTGTGCCAAATTTGAAAAAAAATTCCCAATGGTGTTCTTGAGATATTGCATTCACAAAAATAAGACAGACAAGGTCAGTGACAGTGGCTTTGACCATCAAAATCTAATCAGCTCATCTCTGAGTCCAAATAAATGTTTGTGCCAAATTTGAAGAATTACCCTCACTGTTCTTGACATATCACATTCATGAGAATGAGGTGGATGCAAGGCCACAGTGACCTTGACCTCTGACACTCAACGACCAAAATCTAAACACTTTATTCTTGAGTCCATGTGCACATTTGTGCCGAAATTGAAGAAATTCCCTCAAGTTCTTCTTGAGATATCACGTTCACATGGAACTGATGGACGGACAACCTGGAAACAAAATGCTTTCAGCCACGGCTCTGCCGGCACGCAGGCATAAAAACTGGGTCAGCTGGACTGATATCTGCTATCACTCACCATCTGAGATTTGTCCCCGTGCTGTAATGAGTTGAGATTAGAGTTGAGTTAAGGAACGCTCACCTGGCTGTAGTGAGACTTCTTCCTCTCTATCTTGGAGTCTGCATCAGTCTGGACCTGAGTCAGCAGAGAGTGATCGAAGGTCTTTGATCTGCAGACAAAACACAATAAAGGATTATATCATATTAAATTACAGCTTACATGACTGTCTGCTTTATATAACACTGATACAGCACTGTTTATTAGAGGTGACCAGGTAAAATGATATAAATTACAACGAGTTAATGGGTATTATAATGAAATGAACGCATAAAATACACCTTATCTGTCCCGGACTAGTTGGTAACCACTGTTCTGCACATGCTCGAAAATAATATCCTTGACTTTTCTGTGATTTATTTCTGTTACTTATCAGTCGGTAAGTTGGTCAGTTTGTTAGTTTACCTGACTAATGCTGGCTTCCTCCGGCCTAACAGCTCCTGTTGCTCCGGATCAACGGCCTGCAGAGGTTCACCCACCATCCTCTCATACCTCTGCCGCTCCTCCACGTTCTCTAGATCTGAACTGCAGACAGCAAGAAAACTACTGTCAGACAAAACGAGAAAATTATCCAAAATACTTTATCAGCGGCAGGCAGCTTCAACAAATAGAGCAGATCAAGGTGGAATGATGTTTAATGTGCAAACAGCAAGAGTGAGTCTGGATTTAAATCCACTTCAGTTCCACTTAATGCTTCATCAGACAAAATCAGAGTCATTAAAACTCAGCTGAAGCTTGTGAAGTTTAACAGTGAGATATCTGCTGCTTATTAAATGACCACAGTCTTGAGCAACTGTATTGAGACATACCATAATACTAAAAACAGGTATCTGGGTCCTTCTTAGAGTCTGACTGACACTGGCTGATACTAATATAGATGTTTAAGGGCTGCAAAAAATCAAACTATTATATTTTGTTTTATTTATTCGCAAGGACGACGCGCATGAATCAGCATATCTGTAACTGTGTCAGTGTCAGTCAGCTGGTTAGTTTTTCAGCAACAAAATAAGCACTGTCATGACAGAGCACAAACCATGCAGAGAAACAGGAAACAACATTAGTACAATGACACAGCAACTATCTCCACTATCGATATATGCACAATCACAAGCAAGGACGTAGGTTTTATTAACACATTGTGTCGGACGGATTAGAAATTTTGTGCATCAGATACTAAACTTTCTGCATTGCGCTGAATTTCTAAGTCACATTTTTTGCCTTTTCTGCATAAGAAAATGTCTATAATTCCAAAATAAAAGTCCTCTGCTACTTTCATGTTTTCACTAGAGAGAGTCAGTCAAGTAAAACTGATCTTACAATGACGAAAACTGTGTGTGTGTGTGTTTGTTCCATGTTTTTCTCCTCACTGACTTGGTCAATCCATGTGAAATTTGGCACAGTGGTAGAGGGTCATGGGAGGATGCCAATGAAGCAATATTACATCAATTGGCCAAAGGGGGGCGCTATAGCAACCCATTGAAATGTCAAACTTTGAATGGGCATATCTCATGCCACGTATGTGGTAGAGACATGAAACTTTGCACAGAGATGCCTCTCCTCATGAGGAACACATTTGCCTCAAGAACCCATAACTTCCGCTTATATAGATTTTCCGCCATTTTGAATTATTTGAAAAACACTTCAAATGGATCTCTTCCTAGGAAGTTTGAGCGATCTGCATGAAACTGGGTGAACATAATCTAGGGACCAATATCTAAAGTTCCCTCTTGGCAAAAGTTGGAAAACTTACTAAAACTGAGCTTCTATAAGGCAATGAATATTGTGGAGGGCGTGGCTCATCACATAAAGGTGTATAACATCTCAAGGGTTTCACCCATCACCACGCAACTTTGTAGGCATATGACCACACATAATCTGAGGGGACCCCTCCATTATTGACCCCATCAAACAAAATGGGGGCGCTAGAGAGCTCATTTCTTATCTAGGCCTAACCGCCATATGGATTTTTACTAAACTTGGTAGATATGTAGAACAGGACGCCTCAAGGTGACTGGAGAAATTGAACTCTAATTGGCAACTGGGTGGCGCTATAACAACAGAAAAATGCTTCAAAATGGCTAAAATGCGACCGATCGCTGTGGCTCCCCCTGTGGACCAATGTTGGTGTTTTCTAATGTTTGGTATGACTAAGTCATGGTATGGTATGCTGTACATAATCACAGAAACTGTCAGTGTGTCATTCTGTCAGTCAGTCATTCTGTCTGTCCCACGTTTTTCTACTCACTGACGTGATCAATCTATGTGAAACTGCACATAGGCATTGAGGACTGGCATAGGTAGAAGGTGACAAAGCTACCAATGGCTATGGACTAGTTATAACAAGGCATCTATTGCACGTCTGTCCGTCCTGGAAGAGGGATCCCTCCTCAGTTGCTCTTTCTGAGGTTTCTACCATTTTTTTCCCCGTTAAAGCAGAAGCAGAATCCGCTGTGAGGGCCCAAGGACAGCGGGATGCTGTATGCTGTAAAGCCCTTAAACATTGCAAAGTAACACTGATTATAACCAATGTTTTTTGACACATGCAGACATGCAGAGCGGCCGCAAGACATAAATGAAATATACTAATTTAAAAGCTGGTCTTGATTAAATGTTAAATAACATAGTTAGTAAGATGACAATATCATGCAACATGCACGTGGCCCATGTGGTAAAGTTGTCAGTCCTTCACCAGGAAGCATCACATACTTAATTTTCTGCTTTCTGTTGAATTTATTTCTAAGCCATGCCCTCTGTGCATCAATCTATGGTGTCAATGTCTTTAATTCCAACATAAAAGTCCTCTGCTACTTTTATGTGTTTACTGGGGGAGACAAACATGTTCTAACATGTTATAAATATTGAGGGGGGCGTGTCCTCTGTGTCCCACCACCCAAATCCTTGCCTCTGCATGCAAGCAACATAAAGCAACAAGGCAAGTAACACTGAAACATGCAGACATGCAGAGCGGCCACAAGACATAAATAAAATACAGTAATCATAACATTAATCTTGATTAAATGTTAAATGATATAGTTGGTAAAATGGCGATATCATGCAACATGCACGTGACACTACACACAACTAGAGAAGATCATACGAACATTTGTGATAATTCTTTGAATGTGAATGAACTGTGTGTAACTTTTTTTAACCTGTCATTGTTCTCAGCCGGACAAACTATGTATCGTGACCTCTGTTTCTAAGTGACCTTAAACATATCTTTGACTTTTCTGTCAGTTATCAGTCAACAGAGTGTAAACACAGATAAGGACTCATTTTGTCTTTGATAAGCTAATAACCTGCGTGTACTTATGAATAACTGTGTTTTTACTTTTGATAGAAAAAAGGAACCAAGACGAGATCTCATTTCACAAGTTGCTTGTTTCGTCTGACAAAGAGCCCAAAATTGAAATATGACCCATTATAAGCACATTTTAGAAGGTGAAGCCAGGAAATACATTTTAAACTTTCTGTCAATCAACTGATCCATTAGCTGATAGCAGCATGCAAATACTACTTCTAATAAAAACACTACTAATACTAATAAAACAACTGGCACCAGTATCTCCAGTTCGTGGCTTTAGACACCTCTGATCTCTGACTGTCTGCAGTCACAAACTCACTGATAATCTCTGTCCTCATGCTTTGCAGTTCCTCTGTTACACTTCCTGGTGTCTTCCTGCGATGACTGCTGGTTCACACACTGTTCTGTCATCACGCTCTACACTTTCTAACCGACCAAACACACGTCTGTCCTTCTGTCCTGCTGAGCCGTCCTGCCTGAGAGCTGAGAGGTGCAGTGACCCTGCAGCCTGATCCTCTGCTCCCTCACCTGCCTGTGGGCGTGTTGGCTGGGCCTCCTGAGCTCACATGTCCCAGCCTATCAGACGGCAGGACGGGGTGTGTGTGTGTGTGTGTGTGTGTGTGTGTGTGTGTGTGTGTGTGTGTGGACATTTGAACCTTTGGTCAGTGACATGTTACCCAGCTCTGTCCTGTTTGTTGTTTGCTCTCGTCTATGTTGCATTAAAATCTTGCCTTATTCTTTTCTATTTGACTCTGTTCACATGAAATCATGGCGGACAGAACAAGCTGAGATATTTGGTGTCAGTGGGAACATGTAAGTTCCCTCGTGACTCTCTCTGGATCATTTTACACAGGAACAAGTCTTTCTTCTCTTTTGTTCCTTTTTTTTTACTTTTCATTGCTGCACAAACAGGATGAAATCTGATCAGTTCCCCTTTGTTGACATTACATTTTATTATTTATTTATTTATTTTTTTTACTGTATGGACAAATGTAGGTCAGGAGGGTCAGGTGGAGGAAACACCTGCTGTAACACATTCATTAAAACTGACTGTAGTTCAGTGGACTGACGTAGAAAGTAACATGTTTGTGTAAAGGCCCTGACACACCAAGCCGACGGTCGGCCGTCAACCAAAGTCGGGCCGTCGGTGAGCATCTGTTGCCCTAGTTTTTGTGGTGTGTCCCGCACCATCAGCACTTTGGCATCGGTGGCTTTTCGGCCAATTGAGCATGTTGAATCGGCGGCGGAGCTTGTCAGTGAGAGAGATCACTCTGATTGGCTGTTCAGGTTTTATTTCCTCGCCCCTGTAGCGAGTGAATCTGCCTGTAGTGAAACCGGGGCTAACCGGTGCTTCCTCCTCAGGCTCCACTTCACTCAGCTGCCCCACAGACCCGCTGCTTCTTCACACTTTAACCTCCTAAAGTGGGAAAAAGCAGCGGGTTTATCGGGCAGCTGAGTGAAGTGGAGCCTGAGGAGGAAACACCGGGACCGTCTGGATGTAATAGTCCGTGGAGGTGCTGCGGTGCTCGGCTGCACAGATAGGAAACCCCTCGGCTGACAGGATGTACCACTCTGTCACTCCGCTCTCTCTCACGCAGGCGCAGAACGTACGTGCTACTTGGCCGTCGGATGTAGTCCGTGTAGTGTGTTCAAATGCAACTGACACAGGGCGACGTGAGGCGACGTAGACGACGCAACAGTTGGCTTTCGTCGCCGCTAGTTCTTTGATGTCGGTTTGGTGTGTCCGTACCTTTAAAGTCTCCAGACTCCCTGCAAAAATCTTGCAATTACAGTTCTTTGTATATATCACAGTGGACAGGCAATTTATGTTTGTGTTGTTATGTTTGTTTTAACTCTGTAACATTCACACTTTGAATTTGCAGCTCTTAGACTGAATGGTGGATATACATCTGTCCTCATCCTCCTCGGCTTAAGTGTGGCCTTCGACACTGTTGACTACAATCTTTTACTGCGCTGTCTTGAGAAAAGGGTCGGCCTGCCTGTTACAGCTCTGACCTGGTTCACTCTGACCTCATCACACACTGATGTTTGGTCATGACCTTCCCACGTCCAGATACGACGTCCAAGGTACCCTGGGTGTGTTGGTTGTTGACGTTCTGGGACGCTGTGTCAACTTCAGCCTGTTACATGTTACGTGTCTTTTTTCAAAATACACTTCTATTTTCACAGGAAATGTACAGTTTGCATACAGTCTCTTTCAGAATAAAAGCACTACGTCGGTAGACCACGGATATTTTTTTCCTCCAACAACAAATACGTGATCATGTTTAGGACAAACAGAAAGGGTTCAGCTGCAAAATCTTACAGAAAGTCAACACCGGCCTCTAAAGCTTGTATTTTATATCAGCAATATTTTATATATATATATATATATATATATATATATATCATACTATTTTTGAGGGCTTTAATGCATGAATGAAATGACACATTATTAGATCCAGGGCTTGTATTACTACTACTATGATTATTATGAATATGAATATGATTATTATTATTGTGGTGTCTGTTCTTATTTGTAAATTAAATGTAATATCAATATTCTATTCCGAACAACACCACTGGACCCAGCTATTAACCTGCTTGTGTGTGTGTGTGTGTGTGTGTGTAATCTGAGCCGACTGATATCAGGTAAGAGTCACTAGGTCACAGTGACAGTCAACAAACAACAAAGTTTTTCTCAGAAACATGACACATAAATACACTTTCATGATGAACACACACACACACACACACACACACACACACACACACACACGCACACAGCCTAGTGTGTGCTTATACATAAACACACATACACAGCTACACTACAATACTTGTTAGGACCCTCACTTGCCTGTAAAACTTAAAGGAATAGTTCAACATTTTGAGAGATATTCTCAGAGTGAAATGTCTGTGTGTTTAAGGGATCGTTCTGATTTTTTACAAGTGGGTTTGTATGGGGTACTTATCCATAGTCAGGCTATTACCTACAGTAGGCATGTGTCAGCACACCCACAGTTTGGACTAACAGGCAGGAGTATCACCACAGAAGCTAAGCAATGTACTGCTATCGACAGTGCAGCAGTATGTGCTATACTGAGAATTTTTTCACTGCTTTCCCTCTCCGTCAGACAGCCTGTTCTAATGGAGAAGCCATTAATATCTTCACTTCTGCATCTATACTCTTTTGGCTCGCTGAATCCACTGGTCTACTGCTGCTTCAGTCAGCTAGTTAGTTTGTATAAGTAGTTTGACTTTGGTGACTTTATTTCGCTGTCTGAAATCACTGTCTGAAAGTAAAGCCCAGAAAATAGATTTTTTTAGGTGGGACATTGTTTTTTAGCCAATATCGGCTTTAAAATGAGCTATCAGAATCAACTAACATGCTTTTTCTTATTGAATGAATGGATTTTAAATACAGTGAACAGTACTGTAGTTCATGTCTCCATCTGCTGGTGGGCCGTCATGATAAGAGTATACATGTATAATATGATGTTAATTCCACTACAGAAGAGACTTGATGATCACTAACATTAGGTGGGGAAAAGTGGATATATTTATATCGGTATTGGTTAAGGGCCAAATAAGTTTTTACATATCAGCACACTGGATATCTGCAAAAAAATCCAATCCAAAATCCTGAACCCTCCAACAGGAGGAGAGGACCAGAAAAAACTGACTGACAGATGTTTGTAATATTTGTTTTGTCATCAGGTCAATTTCTGTACTGACTGCCAAACTGGCACGTCTCCATTAGTGGTTGTACACACACACACACACACACACACACACACACACACGCTGCACTTTGAAATGCAAACAGTGATGAGCTGCCAAATCTTTTTAGTTCCACTTCCAAATGTGCTAACTTGTCATTTTTCAGTTTTTCTCATCTCCATCAATAGTTTAAAATTAACAGCTGCTGTCAGTCTACTCATATAGAATCCAGGAATGAGTCCTAAAACCTGGAAATGAGTTCGCATTTTCCCACTCTTGGTTCCCTCGTCTCAACGACAGTGGGCTTTTGGTTAGATGCCTGAAATAAAGTCTGTGGTTAGAGCCTTTGGAAACACAGCTTGAAATAGTAAAAATGCATATATTATATCAAAGTCGAGTGTCTAATTAATCATCCACAAAAGTCTGAGTGAAAATAAACATTCATAACTATTAGAAAACCTGGTTTAAAAACAGCTCATTTTGCTGTTTAGACCACTTGCCAGGACAGAGTGGGCGTGGCAGATAACGCTCTGATTGACAGCTCCCTGGCTTAATCCAGCCGTACATGTTTGAGCCCTCTGATGATTCAGAGGATGAAGCAGAAGCCCTGCCAGCTGAAAATGATTCCTTTCAGGTGGTCACTGAATGCTAAGTTTCAAAATGTTTTGTGATTCATGTTAATGTTAATTTGTAGAACAGTTAGCATAACTTTTACATGCAGTGTTAGCTGAGATGAATGACAACGGGAGGCTAGCGCTTTGCCTTCCTTCATTGAGATACGTTTTCATTGAAAACATAAATCTGCTCCGTTCTTCTGATAATAGCCTTTTTCATTCAAACACATCCAGTCTCAATAGATTAAATATGTCTTTACTCTGACACACACACTGACCCTCAAAGCGGGAGAGACCGGTGCCGGCCGGCCGTCTCTCTGGTGTTGTGTAGAAGTATTGGCCCGCCTTGAATAATGTTCCCCCCCGGCTAAAATTGTGTTGTTTCCCGCAGCATCACCTCCGCGACTGGGGAGATGTTTATGCGTAGCAAAGCTAACTGCTTGGGGTTGGGGTTAGGGGTGAGGAAGGGTGCACATTACGTCCCCTCCCCGCGAGTCGACACGGGCACCGGGCCCGGGGGGCAAGCCCGGCCGCTCACAAGCCGCCTCTTCCTGCAGCTCCACGAGCTGCAAAGGCTCGGATTGTCCGGGCTCTGGAGCCGGTCAACCTGATTTGAGTGCTACTGGGAGCCCGCCGGAGGCAGAGCCTCCACTGGGTCGCAGCCGAGCGGTTCAGCCAGTTTACGATCTGTATTTTCTAAACATCAGACTAGAAAGCTGTTTGTTGGCTCAGACTCAAAGAGGCAGATTTAGCTGCAGCAGAAAGGTTTTGTTGCGCTGCCACTGGGGGGCGGGATGAGACAACTGACGGATGATTTATATTGGTTTGGAATTTATTGCATAATAAATCTCAGCGATAACCACGGCCAAATCAAACCCAATTTCAAGAATGTACGAAAACTTAAAAGACAGATATTTCAAATTTGGATGGAAACTGATTTATAATTGTTTTTACATGTTTAATATTATGTACATAAGACCCTAAATTACATAGTTAGAAGGCTATTGTGGATTTGGTTTCCAGAGGCTTTAACACAAGCTGAGACTTTCACGTTTTGTTCTTCAACATAAAATACGTCAGTAAGTTTCCCGTCTCGTGAACTTTGAAGCTTCTATGAATTTTTAAAAAGACGGTTGCTAGCAAGTGGCTAAATGAGGCTATGAAGAACGTCATCATACTGTGCCGAAAACAGCTTTACAGTCTTGTTATGGTGGT